GCGTTTTCATGTGGACGGAGATTTTTTTAAAAACGGAAGAAGGAAAAACTCAGTTTATTATAATTTTTATTTATTAATTTTTTTTATGTATTTCTAATATTTATTTATTTATGTATTTTTGAATGTAGTGGTTATGCCTTTATTAATTAATATTATAATCTGTAATTTATGGCATGGCACATTAAAACGAAGTGATGCTATTCACATTTGAAGTATGAAAATTCCAGATTTACTGTGACTCTGTTGCAATTGATAGTTTGGGCATGGATTAGGAAGAGAAGGTTATTCTTCAGAAGAGTTCAGCTGTAACTCTTTCAAATGGAATAAAAATAAATTCATGAACTTTTCTTACACAAGTGGCATTATTTCCAGAGAATGGGGTTTGATGTCCATCAGCAGTTACTTACCTTCATGTACATGGATGCTTAATACATTCAACATCAAATATTGATGTGAATTTTGAAGAAGTATAAAATGACGTAGCATGACCAAATGTTTGGGATATCTTTATGGTCTTTCAGGTTGTGGTGACCAACACTGTCCCTCATGAGGTGCAAAAGCTGCAGTGTCCTAAGATCAAGACAGTGGATGTCAGTATGATCCTGGCCGAGGCTATCCGACGCATCCACAACGGGGAGTCCATGGCCTACCTGTTCCGCAATATCACAGTAGACGACTAGCCAACAAACACATTTACATTAGAGACAAAGGTGAGGTGTAGAGTTAAGGGAAATCTTTCCCCTCTTACACACTTGAGAGGTGTGCCAATGCAGTTCCCCATTCCCAACACTACAATCACCTTCATTCCTCAAATAAACCCCTTTTATTCTGCAGAACAATAAAAAAAACTTCCATTGCCAAATGATATAGTTGATGAAGTCTAAAATAAATGAAGACCGACTCAAACCTTTAAATTCAAGCAGTTGCCAGTGTGCAGATATGAACATAGATATGAAATGATAATCCAATGCAAACAACATCATTTATGCAAGTGTTCACTTACTTTTTATTATTTTTTTTACTTTAAGTGATACTCTGCAGTGAAATCAACGGTTTTAGATCTACTGGTAAAACTTTACAGTAAGATGATTTCACTGCTTACCAGTATTTCTGGTTTATTTTGGTTTAATTGTGCCATAGTTGCTTCAAAATGAAAGGTATAGTTCATTCAAAAATGAAATTTCTTTCATATTCACTCATTTCTGTCTGTGGAACCCAAAAAGCAAACCGTCCATTTTTGCTAATATTATAAGAGTGTCAAGCATATTCTTTAAAATATAATCCCGTTGTTCCACGTGAGAGTCAAAGTCATACAGGATTGGAGTGTGAATACAGTAAATATTGATTTTTAATTTTTGTGTGAACTATTCCTTAAACCCTTAAAATCACATTAAGGAATCAAAATATAGTATGTTACAGAAAATGCTGGTTTGTTTGGTTGATTTGTGTCATAAATGTTTACTCCAGACGACAAACAAATGAGCTCTAAATGAACCAAGTACTGTGAATACTTCTCGTAAAACGCATCTGTACTCCTACATAACAAAACTAAGCGAGCTAAAATGGCATGTTCCTCCGTTTCAGTCTTTTACATTTGTGTGCTAATGTTAAGATCTGTATTGCCTTTGGGTTTTATCTTAAACAAACCATATTAGCAATACTAAGCCAGTTATATACTGCAGATATTTTTAGCATAACTAAATGCAGTATACTGTGATCACGTGGCTTTGTAGCAGTGACATCCACCCAATCAGATAAAAAAAAACATTTAGCTTTTGCTTCCTGATTAAACCTTAGCGGAGGTTGTGACAGGATTGTAAAACCTAATGGTAAGCTGATAACAACAATGCATGAGTTTTGTGTGTCCGGTAGATCACTGACGGACGGAGAAAACGTGCACCAACACTGCCCCTGTACTCCCTCTGTGTGCGTTTGTCTCTGCCGTCGAGCCGTCGGTCAGTGTTCGTTTGAAGCATAGCTACACTTCTTTCTTTTTAACATCGTCTTCCACTTCTCTGTGTTCCTCAATTGTGCATCAACTAGCCCGTTTCCCAGTGCCTCACTCTGTGAGAGCGAGCGTGGTTGCTATGGCAACCTTATTCAGAGCTGTTCTAGCTATATTTTTGCATTAGTGCAAATATGGTCCAACCTTACGGAGAACATACGCTTTTGCTACAGTGTATTGAATCTGCTGTTGCTTTGCAATCTTATTTTTGTAAATAAACACAAGTGATTTGCTTCATGCTGCTCAGGTGTATCTTTATTGAACTGAATTCACAGAAGAAGAAAAAAATGCATGTAATTTACTCAAGCGATAAGGTACTATTTGAGAATCTCCATCATGTCAGGATGACATGTCATCAGTGGTCTTCAGTATTAGAGGAGGAGTTAGTAAAAGACCCTTTACTTGCTCTAAACTCCTCAGGTTTATTCACATGACACTGAGGAGCTTAGACCAAGTCAAGGGACCCAAACAAAACTCGCAAAAATGTGTCCAGGTCACATTTTGCCACCGAATCAAAATAAATAATATATTTTTTGTATAAATAAAAATGGCATGTTTTTAAGATAAAGTATTTTGCATTATTGTGCATACACTATATTTAAGGTTAAGATAGAGATAATGTTTTTAAAGTCCAATGCAGAGGCAAATTAGAGACCGGAAAAATAATATTCATGTGCCATGGTTTAACCAGATGTCCGTATGGCTGTTTAATAAATATACATACAGCTCTAGATTAGCCTACTTATTGTTTTTAGGTTTTGCATTTGAATATATGTGTAGACATTATCAAACACTCGATTTTGGTAAATTTAGAATTTTTAAAATGTTAAATTTAAAAAGGCTAATTACTCTTAGTGTTATTTTATGAGGAAAAGGAAAGGACATGACGTTTGGCGTCGCATACTTGGAATTTGTGCTCTGCATTTAACCCATCTAAGTGTACACACACAGCAGTGAGCAGTGAACAAACACAGACACACACACACCGTGAACAAACACCCAGAGCAGTGGCAGCCAATGCTGCAGCGCCCGGGGAGCAGTTGGGGGTTCGGTGCCTTGCTTAAGGGTCTCACCTCAGTCATGGTATTGAGGGTGGAGAGAGGCGCTATTTATTCCTAAAAAGGAGCTAGTTATGGGCAGGCTTCACAGAAACTCATTCTACCTCCTACAGGGAGAGAGAAAGATTGCAGAAAGACTAAAAACTATAAAAAATATGACAACTAGAATCTGGTTATGGTCGCTATTAAAGTGTTGCTCATGTTATCTAACTGCGATTATAGTATTAACTGTCTATTATCTAACGACAAACGCTTTATAAAATACCACTGCTGGTTAGCAGTAATTTCTTCAATTTACCAGCGAGTGTCCTTGAGAAGCACTGAAATGAATGGGCTAGAACAACTATTGGTTGTTTGGGACCAATGGCTGCTCCATGACACGCGTTACTTCCGCATTCCTCCGTTCCTATGGAATTTTTCAGTCATGTGACTGACTCTAAGACATGGCGGGCAAAACATCCATAGAACTGCAGCACAAGCCTGTCAATTTTCCATCTGTTTCCAATCCACAAATATTTAGATCATCTCTCAAAAGGATAAAACAAAGATATGTGAACAAAATGCAAGTTTTGGCCATTTGCAATACATATAAAACACCCGCCACAATATTTCAATAAAAAAAACAGTGTGACATTCTAAAACGTTTAATGTGAAAACACTTAAAGTGCCTTTAAAACAGTGATATTAAAAGATCAGATTCTGTTCACACATTTTTATTGATGTGTAATTTATGCAGGCAAACAGATGAGCTCGAAATCTGAATGCAATACGCTAAATGGTTGTGTTTTCTTTATAACAGTTTGCTATGGGAAAACATGTAATATTAAACTTTTCGCATTGTGTTTATATTCTGGGTTCATCTGATTGCCTGTACAGAGTGTGCATCAACAATAAGGTGTGTACTGAATTTGGCCTTTAAATATCACTGTCTTACTACATTACTACTTAATGCAAACCTCATAAAAAATAACTGGCGGTCAGCGGAGGAAAGCCTTGGTTTGCCCTCCATGTGGGCGTTCCTGTAAGGGTGTGACGCCACCTGAAAACTGAATTAAACTGTTTTTCGCCGTTACATTTTCACTTACTGCATTGGCATGTTTCACTTGTTTCAAGTATACAGAAAGTGTGGAAAGTGAAAGTAAGTTTAAGGTTAGAAAGCTGAACATTTCAATCCATGATGTAGATGAGTTTGTTTCTTCAATGGAACGGATTTGGAGAAATGTAGCATTCCGTCACTTGCTCACCAGTGGATCCTCTGCAGTGAATGGGTGCCGTCAGAATGAGAGTCCAAACAGCTGATAAAAACGTCACAATAATCCACACAACCCCAGTCCATCAATTATAGCCTTGTAAAGCAGAGAGCCATGTGTTTGTAAGAAACAAATCCATCATTTTAACTTAAAGGGATAGTTCATCCAAAAATGAAAATTTGATGTTTATCTGCTTACCCCCAGGGCATCCAAGATGTAGGTGACTTTGTTTCTTCAGTAGAACACATATGATGATTTTTAACTCCAGCCGTTGCAGTCTATCAGTCGTATAATGCATGGCAATGGTAACAAAATCTATGAGAGTAAAAAAAACATGCACAGACAAATCCAAATTAAACCCTGCGGCTCGTGACGACACATTGATGTCCTAAGACACGAAACGATCGGTTTGTGCCAGAAACCGAACAGTATTTATATCATATTTTACCTCTAATACAGCACTATGTCCAACTGCTTTGAGCGCGCGCACGGCATCCGGTGCGTGAGGTGTGTACGCGCTCTGGCGTAGTTTACGTTAATGGCTGTGTTGATATCCAGCCGAAGAGCAATCAACCATAACTTCAGGCGAGCAGGCTCAGAAGTTGGGAATACGTGGAAAGTCACCACTCCCGAATGAGTTCGCGCGAGAGAACATAATCTTTTAGTTTTAAGTCGGTTTGAACAATCCGGATAAGCGCAAGTAAGTACCATTTTGATTAGCCGTCGTACCTACAATGTTTGTGCACTGTGTAAACAATGAGTGACGTATACGCGCGAGAGATCACTTCCGGCGCTTGCGTAAACTATGCCAGAGCGCGTACACACCTCACGCACCGGATGCCCTGCGCGCGCCCAAAGACGGTTGGACATAGTGCTGTATTAGAGGTAAAAAATGATATAAATACTGTTCGGTTTCTCGCACAAACCGATCGTTTCGTGTCTTAGGACATCAATGTGTCGTCAAGAGCCGCAGGGTTTAATTTGGATTTGTCTGTGCATGTTTTTTTTTACTCTCATAGATTTTGTTACCATTGCCATGCATCATACGAAAAGTTAAAAATCATCATATGTGTTCTACTGAAGAAACAAAGTCACCTACATCTTGGATGCCCTGGGGGTAAGCAGATAAACATCAAATTTTCATTTTTGGGTGAACTATCCCTTTAACATTTAAACCATCACTCTTGATCCATTAAAATGCTTCTGCCTGTGAAAAAGTCCATCTTCTGTTGTCCTCTCACATCAAAATCCACCAACACATTTGTTTAGAACTATTTTGGACTGTTTTTGCCTATAAACAGTGCTGGATCTGTGCATATTTCTCTCATTCTCTCAGAAGACTCTCATTCTGACGGCACCCATTCACTGCAGAGGATCCACTGGTGAACAAGTGATGTAATGCTACATTTTTCCAAATCTGTTCCACCGAAGGAACAAACTCATCTACATCTTGGATGATCTGAGGGTAAGTTTAATCAGAATTTTAATCATATTTTTTTAGTGAACTTTTTTTATTTTAATTTATCTTGTTTGGATATATATATATATATACTTCCTACACGAGCTGAGGAAGTTCAACCTGCCACAGGAGCTGCTCACACAGTTCTGCTCGGCCGACATTGAGTCCGTCCTGTGTTCATCTATAACTCTCTGGTTTGGTTCAGCCACCAAATCAGACATCAGGAGACTACTACGGACAAATAGTCAGGACTGCTGAGAGGGTAATGCGTGCATCCCTGCCCAAACTCTAAGATCTGTACACCTCCAGAGTGAGAAAAAGGGCTGAGAAATCACTTTAGAGCCCACGCATCCAGCCCCTTTCTCTTTAAACTGTTGCCCTCTGGCTGGCGCTACAAAGCACTGAGTAACCAGAACAGCCAGACATAAGAACAGCTTTTCTCTCAGGCAGTATTGAGTCTGAAAATTAAACCACTCTCACCAAAACTCTCACCCATTTATATTTTATGGCCATTATTAAAGAAAATACTTAACATGGT